CCTCCTCCCCTCCCTCCCTCTCTGCCTCCATTCAAAGATCACAGCCATCTTTAAAATAAGATGCTTGTGATCATATTCATTTGAATCGCACTATTAGAAAGCACTGATAAGCCAAGAGATCTCACTCACCCCTTCCAGAACAAAGCAGATTGGAGCTGCCCTGACACTTCCTGGCGCTGTCCTCAGCTGACAGTGGGCAAGACCATGGGTGCTCACACTTCTTCCCTTGCCAACCCACTCTGCAGTCACATCTTCCACAGTTACACTGTCCATGACCTTCACCAAGAGAATAAAGCGGGGGGGGGTACATGAAGATAATGAGAACAGTGTTCATTTTCAGCTTTCATTCTAACAATGACCGTCCAAAGTAAGTCAGGATCTTAATTCATACACCATAAACCATTAAGGGAAAGGAACATTTTTCTCAATTTATATTACATGGATCATGAAGGACAAAGAAAAGCAACAGGTATGGCCAAAAAGATGTTTTAGTAGGGCTATATACTCGAATCTATCAGATTCTAGATAAATGGGATTGTATTGGTCTGCTGGGAACTAAATGGAGTATTTGATATTTTCAGCAATTATTCATGTGAAGGAAAGCTATAGGAAACAGAAAAAAAATGATTTTTTAAGTAGGATTTTTTTCTCTTCTAATGAATCATTCAACTGATTTATATTTAGCTCACAGAAAAACAAGGCGCCACAAACCTAAAAGAAAAGCTATGAAATCCAGAACGTGGGAGATGATCCCTTCACAGATTTATTAAGATCTAACTTACATATAAAGACTATTTGCATTGAAAGCTCACAAGAATGATTCTGTTCTACATATACACACTGTGAAACAATTGCCACAACCAGCTAATTAATAGAACTTTCACCCCACACAGCTGTGGGGTGTAGTGAGAATACTTAAGGCCTATCTTCATAAAATTTACGTATGAGAAACACTATTCTTAATTATATCTATCTTGTTGTATTCTAAGACTTCAGGACCTACTCATCTGGTAACTTGGAAAGTTTGTGTGCTTTGATAAACATACCCCCACCCTTCGGTGCCTGGTAACTGCCCTGCTACTGTTTCTAAGATTTTAACATTTTTAGATTCCACATAACTATGTTCTTTTGTGGTTCATTTATTCTAAATAGTATCATTCATCCATGTTGTCTCAAATGACAAGACTTTTTCTTGCAGAACATTATCACATCATGTGTGTGTGTGTGTGTGTGTGTGTGTGTGTGTGTGTGTGTGGGACATTTGCCTACATAGATAAAACATTTTTTTTTTCCTTTTTTTTTTTTTTTTTCTTTTTGAGACAGGGGCTCTCTGTAGTCCCAGCTGACCTGCACTCACTATGTAGACCAGGCCGGCCTTGAACTCAAAAAGATCTGCCTGCCTCTGCCTCCCAACATTTCCTTTTTTTTTTTTTTCCGGTCTTTCTGAGACTGGGTCTCTCTGTAGCCCCAGCTGTCCTGGAACTCACTATGTAGACCCTATGTAGACCAGGGTGGTCTTGAATTCACAGAGATCCACCTGTCTCTGCCTCCCGAGTGCTGGCATTAAAGGTGTGTGCCACCTGTATCTACAGTCACTCGTTTCTAAATCTTGGCTATTATGAAAAATGGCACATTAGCAGATAAATGAAAATGTATCTCCAAGATAATGATTTTATTTCTTTTGAACATATGCCCAGAATTGGCTAGCTTATTTGCTAGTTCTATTTTTATTTTTAATTATTTTGGGAACTTATATAACATTTTCCATAATGCCACACCAACATCATTTCAAACAACAATGTATAAGGATCTCTTCTCTCTAAATCTTGGTCAAGCTCCCTTCTGATTCTTTTTCCTAAGTGCCATACTAACATACATCAGGTTTTGATTTGCATTTTCCTGTTGATTATTGATGTTAAGTGCTTCTCATGTACTGTTCAGCTATTGGCATAACTTCTTAGGAAAAATGCCTGGCTGAGACTTTGTTCATTTTTCATATCTTGTTGCTTGATCTTTCTGGCTGTTGCACATTTCTTACATCTTTTGGATAGTAATTCCTTATTTGCTAAGTGGTTTAGAAATATTCTCCCCCAGTCCATAGATAATCTTTGAATTTTTTTAATTGATTCTTTATTGTTATAGAAACGTTTTAGTTTGATTTAGTCCAACTTATATAACTTTCTTTTTCTTGCCTGGGTTTCTGGTATCATATCCAAGAAAACATTGTCAAGACCAATGTCATAGGCTCTTTCTGTTATGATTCTCCACAACTCTTACTGTTTCATGATTTAACCTTCCATCTTTAATTCATCTGAGGTTTTCTTTTATGTTTCCTGTAAGACAAGTATCTGATCACCATTTCAACACAATTTATTAAAGAGAATATACTTCTCCCACAGCATTGCTGATATATTTATTACTAAAAATTTTTTTGGCTTTTTGAGACAGAGTCTCCCTGTAGCCCCAGCTGGCCTGGACTCACTATGTAGATCAGGGTGGCCTTGAGTTCACAGAGATTTGCCTGCCTCTGCCTCCCAAATGCTAGGATTAGAGGCATGCACCATGACGTCCAGAGTTGATATATTTATTAAAGATCAGCTCACCACTTATAGATGGGCTTCTTTCTGGACTTTCTTATCTAGTTCATTTGTCTGTTTTTTTTGTTGTTGTTGTTAGTACCACATTGTTTTGATTATTGTAATTTAAAGCAATACTTTTTCTATACAAATTTTAAAGATCATATTTGTGTGTGTGTGTGTGTGTGTGTGTGTGTGTGTGTAAATCCATGTGAGATTTAATTGGAATTTCACTAAATCTGTACATCACTTTTGGTTGTTAGATATTTCCTTTTACCTTTAATTTCTTTCATTAGTATTTTCTAATTTTCAGCATATATAGCTATTATCTCCTTGATTCATTTATTCTTAAGTATTTTAATCTTTGATACATTTGTAAATAAAACTGATGTCTTTATTTCTTTTGGGTGTTTTTTTTTCAAACAAGATCTTCTTAATTGTTTTACATTTATTTATGTGTGTGTATGCCTGTGTGCCTGTGCACATGACATCATGCTCTTGTGAAGATCAGTGGACAACTGGGGGAGTTGGTTCTCTTTCCCATCATGGGGCTCCAGGGATGGAATTCAGGTCATCAGGTTAAACATCAAAAGCTTTTACGACTGAGCCATCTTGCTGGTTTGGAAATGGTGCTCTTGAAAAGTGTATCAGTTTGCATGGGTATATACAAACTTGACTTGATAAGCCTTAACATATGTGACCAGATGCATGACATCCTGTGGGCAGGCTAGGAGAAGGGGTGCAGATAAGAGAGGGGTCTAAATATAATTAAAATGTATTGCATGAAATGCACAAAAATTCAATGAAAATATACATTAAAAATGTATTTCAGGCACAATTAGGAATTAAACCCATGGTACTTTGTCCTTGGTGTCTGGTTTAATGTTTATCATGCAATGTGAAAGCTAGACTTTGCTGAAGACTGGGTCCCTAAGGACTGTAGATCAGTTTTCTGAGTGTGCAGACATTGGACAATCTACATCTGCAAAAGCTTTGTACCATCTGTTGACCTGGCTCTTTACACTGATAATATTCTAGGTCAGAGTGAAGTGGCATATTAGTGATTGCTTAAGGCAAATCTTTAAAAGTTTTCTTTTTGAAAAATAGTAAAATCCAAAGCTGGGCGTGATGGTACATACCTGTAGTCCCAGTACTTGGGAGGCAGAGGCAGGCAGATCTCTGTGAGTTCAAGGTCTGGTTGGTCTACATAGTGAGTTCCAGGCCAGCTGGGGCTGCAAGGGGACCCTGTCTCAAAAAGACCAAAAAAAAGTTTGTTTATTTATTTATTTATTTATTTATTTATTTTTATTTTATGTGTAGGAATATTATATCTGCATGTATATAAGTGCACCCATGTCATACAGTGCCTGCAGAAGACAGAAGAGGGCACTGGATCCCCTAGAACTGGAGTTACAAATGATTGTTAGTTGCCATGTGCATGCTGGGATTCAAACCACAGTCTCTGTAAGAGCAGCCAGTGCTCTCAACCCTTGGGCCATCTCTGCAAATTTTTTAAGTAACCGATTTAATTAATGAACAACCACTGAGTCCCTGCTATATGACAGTCTCTTCAACAAGTTAATGTTATCATTAATCCTCTATAGTGGGACAAGATAAGATTGGTAATAAATATATATGACATGTGAGTATGATCATTTAGACTGTCCACTATGAGAAGTTTATTTAGCATTGTTTGTAGTTAGTAATACTTACATTTCATAGATCATTTGGTTCTGTGGTTTTTTGCCATTTATCTTAGCTTAAGAAGTACTCACCTGTCCTAGTGAGTTTTAACTGTCAATTTGACACAGGCTACAGTGTTCTGAAAAGGGAGTCATAATTCATAGAAGTCCTAGTTCAGACTGGCCTGTGTCCACATTTATAGGGGACTGTCTTGATTGTTATCTGATGTAGAAGAGCCCAGCCCACTGAGGCCAATACCATTCCCTGGGGAATAGGGTCCTGGGTGGTATAAGTTACCTAAAGTGGGTCTCTGATAGAGGCAGCCAGCAGTGTTCCTTTATGGTTTCTGCTTCCAGTTCCTGCCTAAGTTTCTGCCCTGACGTCCCTTAATGAAGTGTAAGACAAATAAATCCTTCCCTCCATTAAGTCGCTTTGGTCATGATATCTGTTACAGCAACAGAATGAAACTAAAATACCACCCTGCTTCCCAACCCACATGTAAGGTAGAACAAACTATAAGCAAAGTGATACTGGAAATGCATATATCAATTTTTTTGGTCTTTTTGAGACAATATCTCCTATTAAAACTATTTTTTAAGATACAACTAATTCTGTTTTATAAGAGCAAGTACTTTAAAATGCTTGGCGATAAGAGGCTCATTTCAGGGACGGTTAGCTCTGTAAGGAGAAAGGACACAGTACAGAACATGTTGTTATTTGTAGATTTGTAGAAGACTAATTGACATTCTTAACATTAAAACTGAAAGAACAGTTGGGTTGGAGAAGGAAAATACTTCTTTATTCATGGAAGTTTTAAAACAGCTGTAAACATCTGAGCAAAGCATCTAGCAAATGAAAATGTTGAGGAATCCCTAACTTATCCAAGAGGATGCCTCTTCTGCTGTGACCCACCAGAATTCAGAGCCAGGGGCCCCTGCCCACAGGAAGATCCTATCCCAGAATGGATAAAAAGAAGCAGAAGCCTTGAGGACAAAGATAGGTATAGAGAGGGACCAA